TAAACAAACAAGAGGTTAACATGTTAATTTGTGAGCTTTAGAGGTGCTGGTAGGTGGATGTTTTTTTATTAGCCATCTCTCCCTTCCTCAAGCCTTTATGCTAAGCTAACCCTCTCCTGGCTGTAGCTTCATATATAACTATCTGGTGTTCTTATCCAACTCTCAGCAAGAAAGCAAATCTCCCAAAATGTCCAACTATTACTTTAAAAGACATAAAATACAACCTAAAATAACAAACATATTAAAGCATGAAAGAATCACAATCAGTAAGCCAAAGACACAGCATTGTTTATCAACTTTCTCAAGGGTAAAAGCTAAAACTCTTCCGTTCCGTTTTTACCCTTGAGATAAAGGGTCTCCAGGGTTTTCCCAGTGAATCAGGTCAATGGAAGTAAGTTGAGGTCAGAATGTCCTAGAATCAATTCCGTTTGGCTTGGTGTAAGCGACAACATTACAGGACACAATGCTGTTGGCAAAAGGCATAAAATTAGGAATTGTGCATCAGATGACACTGTGCAAAGGACACTGTGACAGAGCTTTTTGGGAACATGACCAATAAGCAGGCAGGCCTTCTGGGAACATGCGCTGTGTTCCAATCACAGTGGGGAATAACGACTTGTGTGCCAATGTCTCTAGATAATACTCCATCCCTCCATTGCAGCCATACTTCCCACGTCTTGTATCTTATTATACTATCCAGGCTTTTACCCATTCGCTTGACGGTCTTTTCCCCATTCGCTTGACGGTCTTTTCCTCTCTTAACACATCATTACTTCCCCTTCATTCAGACAGGCGAGTCATGTTCAAAGAGAAGAGTAAAATCCAATGAAGCCTGTGATCCCTTGGGGAAAAAACATTATCTGTCCAATTACAAGAACTCACAATTATGATCTTAACATATGTATACAAATTCCTGTGTTTTGTACGCACTGCAGCAGTGTAGAGCGTGTGTTTGTGTGTGTGTGTGTGTGTGTGTATAAACTGCTGGTATGAAATGGCTTGCGTGGTGCTGCTGCTGTGTGGAGGAGTCGGGTGGAGATAGTTTGGCACATGCATCACCGTGGTGATTCAGTCAGTCGAGGGAGGAAGTCAGGCAGGAGGAAGAAAAAGGAGAGAGGGAGAGTGAGTGAGAGAGTTAGAGAGAAGACAAGAGAAGAAAAAAGACGGGGGGGAGATGCATCGCTGAAATTAGGTCAGCTCCATTTTCAGAGCTTCATTTTAAAGGAGATAAAGCGTTTATCTTTATCGGATGTTGAGACAGGGAAAAAAAATAAAGCATATAAAAGTGTTTGGGTAGAAAAAAGGCTCACATTTGCATCAGCTTTGGACTGAGTCACAGTTCTATCAGACAGGATATTGGGCCAACGTCAGCCCAAAGTAAGACAAAATGCTTAGTTTTGTCTGAAGAGTCAGTGCTGCTTTCTGGCCAGCTGTTGTTGAGTCGGCTGCAGCAACATCAACTAGGTTTGCTGAAAATATTTGGCCCATGAATTGTACATGTGTGTAAATGTATTCCGAGTTTAAAAGTACATGCGTGCGACATGTCTCACCTTGTGAGTTTGGTGCCTATCTGCTGCCTAGACTCCAGTCTCTCCTCATCTGTCTGCATGGGCAGGATGTTTTTCTCCTCCAGCTCTCTTTTGGATGGACGGTTACTCAGCTTGATGGCCAGAGAGTCTTTCCTCAGCACTTTCTGAGCCAGGGAACCTAAACCCAAACACCAAAGTCACACATGAGAGGAGCTGCAGGCATGAGGCATAGATGTGGAGACTCATTTACCAAAGTTAGCTTCATTCTACTGTATCTGTGAACTGTATCAAATAGATGACACCTTGGATTTGGACTACACAATTAAAAATAAAAGTTAAAGATGACACTCAAAACTGCATTCCTAGATAA